ACTAGGACAAAAGAGCCGTCCATTACTCCCTGCAGGTTTTCCAATGGTTCTCTAACCGATATCGGCTCATGATGAAATCCTGTAACCATTCAATCAAATCCCCATAAACCAGTACTTGAAGATTAACAACTATGATTGTAACAACTTGTCTGTTTTGTTACTCTCTTCTATCATGAAGAAAAACAGTGCACAGATGCGACTGTATAGGTAAAGCGGAAAGTGAATTCGCTGCCTAAAAGAGCCTCGTCACTGAACTATGTGTTTTATCTTTGTTAATGTCCGGATAGGTACTATTCATGAATGTCAGAAACGTTTTCATACTAACAAAAAGAAATCGTGCGCAATGAATACTCTGTTCATCTTTCCCGTTAAATATCTTCAATATTCAATTCTATTGATCATTGAACATACATACATTTGTTTGAGACACCTGTATTGTTATTATTATTATTGTTTCCTTTAATTCCTAGAGGAACATAGGGCTGCAGCCACACGTCTCCACTGCGTTCGGTTCTCTGCTAACGTTTTCAGCAGGCTCCACTTTCGCCCACGTGCTTCAATATCCTCTTCGTATGACCCGTTCCATTTCACTCTCTCAGTGACGATAAACTCGCCGCCTGCCATGTGATGTCGGTTGATGGTTCGTTTTCTCAAAGTATGGCTAATCCACCTCTATTCCTTCCTGCATATTTCCTGCACAATCAGTTCCTACTGGGTTGGTTAGTTCATTGCCAGAGATCCTTGTTACTGATGTTTTCTGGCCAGCCATCTGTTCTTGAGCGAAGTGTTGAGCAAAGACAGCTGTTGATGAAAGTGTGTAGTTTGTTCGAAGTGCCCTTCATGACGCGTTGGCGAAGTCTCTGATCCGTGCAGTAAGTAGCACTGACTTCACATTGGAGTTGAAAATCCGGATCTTATTTTCCTTTTCATGCTGAGTGCTGCTGATCTCCTCCACACAGACTTGAGAGTATTGAAAGCTTGCCTTGCTTTCGAGATCCTCTCTTCTTTGATATCCTCATCAGTTCCGTTCCTTAGTTGAAACGATGCTTCCCAGATAGGTAGGTAGGTAGGTAGTTAGGTCAGACTCCTCCCATTTATGCTGATTGCTGTCTGTTGGTGTTGGACAGGAATCTTCATCACCTCTGTTTTCTCTATGGTCACCTGAAGTGATGTCCCATCTTTGATGCTTTTTCCTCTGCCAACTTGTTGCTTTCCACTTGCATATCTTCCAGCATGTGTGAAATCAGACATGTATATATGCCATCGGCGAAGTCCAGATCCTCTCAGTTTATTTTTGTGTGGGTCCATTTAATGCCTGTCTCCTCGTTGCCCGCCTCTGTCTGCCTGTGTGTGTTTCAAATTATTATTTAAATCATCGATTGTCTCCTTCCTATTCTCTAATTTTTCTCTAGTCTAGTTTTACTGGTGCACTGATGTCTGGATGAAAATGTATATATCAGTAATTTTAGCAGCACACCTGATAAGTATG